CTCTCTTGTAAATGAGTCCCCAGGGCTCAATGGGATTAACCTGTATAAATAAAGGTTGAATGAATGAATGTGTACACACTATAGTGTGCTAGTTTTTAACCTTCATCTGATCTAAAGTGAACATAAATAGTGATTAAACTCAGGAAACTGGTTCACATCTTCAAATACCTTCTTATAGCTGTCCATCAGCATGTTCCCGACATTGTGCACCAGGAGGGAGAACTCGGGCCTCTTCTCAAACTTTTCATCCCAGCACTTCTTCATGATCTCATAACTACAATGTAAGCAACATTAAAGTTAAGAGTTTATTTCTAATCCTTTGTACCTTGCAGAAAAATGGCAGAGATACTGACATTTCATCAGAAGCGTGGGCAGGTTTGGCCATTCGGTAGCCTCTCTTCAGAGCATTGTAGAAGATTTCATTCATGGGCAAATCTGGGTAAGGGGTTCCTCCTACAGGGACAGTTTCAGATATTTCACATGCTTAGACACAGAATCAGCAGAGAAAACTTTAGTTTTCCGTTTGCAGCAAATAAAAATATGAAACCACGAGTTACTGTTAAATATATCTTTTTAGTGATGCCCGAAAAAGTGACCGTTACTGAAAACAAATTTGCTGCGTAGTAAATTAGGGTTTTCTAACACAAATACACAAGAAAAAAATGAACCAAAGGGTCAGATGAAAGCCACATTAAGACGCAGAAGCACAGAGAGTCTTTATTTGTCACAGAGGGGAGACTGAGTTTGTTTCTTTAGGCCTAAAAACTGTCCTCTTCGTTTTCATGCAAGCTTCAAAAATATATGGAAGGTATATAAAAATAAACTTACAACATCCAAAGCAAGGAAATGCTGAATTCAAAGCTTGACAGTAACTAATAAGGTTTTGACCTCATATTAGTCAGACATGAATACCTGTACCAGTGGTGATTTTAGCCTCTTTTTGGGGGGTGCCAAAGCACCCGTAAATTAAAAAAAAAACTGGGGGAAGCGCATCTGGGTTTGGGTTATGGGTTCTGTTCATTGCATTTATGATTCAATGCAACAAAATAAACAAATGTAAAAGGTAACAGATCTTTGTAATACTTGGTGTATTTAATGATTTTAACTGCTGGATGTCCAGCCCCTGAGCTGCTGGTTTTCAGTAACTGTGGCCCCCTGAGTAGTTTACAATTTATTCTATTTCCAAAACCTAAATTGAGTCTGGAAAAATATAAAAGATGTATAAAGCCCTGTGGCAGACCTCATGAGCAGCTGAATACAACTGTGATAAACAGGAAGTACTGCATATTCATCTGTACGAAGGTAACTGCAGGTAAATACTCCATTTTCTGTCATAATTACATCGTATGCTTAATTGTTAAAGCTGTTGCGCTTTGATTTGCGAGTTTTAAATGTAGATATACTGTATGTTGCAACTTCCGGTTGCATAAGTTTAGTCTTTATTTGTTATGATCAATTAACACTAAACAGATTTTGTACAAATTGTTTATCAGGTTGTGTAATGCAAAGCAGAGTGCTACGTCTGTAGCATCTTAGCTAGCGCACCTGTATTGCACGCCGCTAGCTTAGTGCTGTTGTGCTGAGCTCTCTAAAATGATTGAATCAAGAGTTTACTTATTGAGGTAAACAGACGTTTAACGACCTGTTAAAATACACCAGAATGCAGGAAATGGCTTCTACTTTATTCAAAATTTTATGGGGGAGGACCCCCAGACCCCCCCACCTGTGTATCCCCCCCACATTATGAATGCTTTTGACGCCAATGGCCACTATGTTGTTCAAGCCAAGAAACGTTGTCAGCACTGGGGGCTGAGCACCCCTAAAGGTCAGATTCTAGAATCACCCCTGACCTGAACAATATGAATGCATCACCTCCACAGTTTGGATTTGTACCTATATGTTTTGTTTTTTTTTATTTCTGTGCATGTGTGCTGCTCAAACTGACCCAGAGTGAAAATTTCCCAAAGCAGAATGCCGTACGACCACACGTCGCTCAGGGTGGTGTACAAGTTGTTGAAAATGCTCTCTGGTGCCATCCACTTCAGGGGCAGGAAGGTCTAAATGGAAATCACACAAACAGACACTTCAATTTTAGATAATAAAACTTGTTTATAATGATATTTGTACCATTTGCAGGGCTGGACGATTACAGTTTGCACCTATTTGCAATTGTTTTACAGCATGTGAGTTAAACTGCAGAACTAGCTTGTCTGAGTTCATATTCAACGTTTTGCTTCTTACGCTGCCTTTGGAGATGTAGTTGGAGTCGTGCATGATGTCTCTGGCCAGGCCGAAGTCACAAATCTTCACCAGCTTACCCTCACAGATCAAAACATTCCTGGCAGCCAAATCCCGATGAACGCACTGTAGTGGGAACGGAAACCAAATCCAATCATACGCGTTAGGAAACCAGCACGGGCCGTGTGCAAGACTTTGATTTTCTTCTTGATGTTTAAGAGATTTATTTGAAATAAAACTTTAAAAGGCTTTAGTGAGAAGGTTTATGTTTTAATATCCTACATTCTTGGAGGCCAGGAACTCCATTCCCTTTGCCACCTGGAAGCTGAAACCCAGGAGGTCATCGTAGGTGAGACTGGGAGAGTCACTCATTACCAGGTCCACTTGGATTCCACCTGGACCAGGTGACAAACAGGAGAAGACGGGCGAGGGTTAAAAACAATCAGCAGATGTGTTCCTTAATGCGAAAAACAATCGAACAATTAAAAGTTGACTTTTTATCAACAAATGCTGATGATTTTAGCATCTATGAGTATCAGACAGAAGGGTCTGGTAACCTCACATCCTGTTATTAAGAATCTCCTTTTTCTGATTCACATCACCTCATTCTTTGTTCTTGTTTGATTTAAACTGGAACATTATTTCTCCTTAATCCACTCTAAATAAAACCAACTCCATCTGGTCTGAAAGCCAAACCTTGCTCCTGATAGAGGTCCTGCTGGTAGGTGGACTCATACGGAGAAGGCTGGATGTCTGCGTATTTGATGGTGTCTAACTGCTCCTGCATGGGCACGTAGATGGAGGGCTCGTCTTTGCTCATGTCCATGTATCCTCCGTCGCTCTTGCTTCCGAAGGACACGAGGCTGCAAAGACACATGAAGTGTGAAGGGAGTTCTCCAACGACCCACATCAGGATGCGTCTTTGTAGTTCCTGACCACAGGAAACATCTGCAATGATCTCCATCATGGGATCAGCGTATCAGTCTATCTGAAGGCAGAAATTTCAAGGAGCGACAGCCTGCGCTCTACACAGAGATCTGCTTTGTGCAGCTCTGGACACATTTTCTCTGCTCCTCTCACCCTTTTCTCTGGCTGAGAGGGGTGCTTCCTCTTGAAATGAGACAGCCGTCATCCTGGTTCTTCTCGGTGTAGTACTGCAGGAAGGTGTGCTTGTTCCTGTGCAGGTAGTCCACCAGGTCGCCATAGCGACAGTACTCGGTAACCAGGTAGAGAGGGCCTGAGGAACAGAAACAGTGAGGAATATGTATGAGGACTTTAAAACAACTGTGCTTTAAAATGTTTAAAAATGTTTCACACAGATAAACTTGAAGTGGGTATTGTTATCATAATCACTTTATCTAGCCACATTTTTCATCTTCTGAACAGTTTAAATGCTTTATTGAGTTTGTTATTTCAGATATGTGTTAATCTGAGGATCATTTGTGCGTAGATCCAGGTCAAATGACAAAGAATCAAGAATTAACCGAGATACTGAAAACCTGCTGCTGCTTCTTTCTATTTAAAATAAAAGGAACTCTCCAGGAATATGGAGCGTTCAGATCATCAAGCAGGATCATACTTGATCACATGCAGCAAAGAATCGGAGGATTAAAGGAATAATGATGTGGCTCCTTTCCTCAGAAAATCCTACATTAAACTCGTGGTTTCTTGTTAATTTAATATTTACACTGAGGGAAGATAATAGGCCTCTTTACAGAGGAAGAATCAGGTCGGTGCTTCAGAATAAAAGGTGATTAATAACGGATCAATAAATTACTCCATAACGGGCAAGGTTACTAAAAAGTACAGATAAAGTATTTTAAATTTTCCTAGAAATGTTCTTTTCAGTTTGTGTCATATATTTTTTATTTCATTGCTCCATATAATGGAAAAAGAAAAAGTGTTTTGTCACGTGTTATTTTTGTAAAACGTTAGCTGCATCGTAACTTTGCACAATTCTGATAAACACAATAAAAATCACTTTATTTTTAGGTTTTCTTGCTTGTTAGCTGATATAGATTATTGATGAGCGGTTAACTAAAAACTAAGGAAATCAGAGTTTTTATTCACACAGTGAGTCACTTTTATATGACAGGGCTTCTGAGTTTCTGAGACTTGATTGTTTTCATCTTTTCCCCCTCAAAAAAATAAAAACTGTTGCTTACATGATCTCCCTCTTAGTGCAAATAAAAAGTTTCCTGTTGGCAAAGGTGAGAAAAACACGAGAAAACACGAGGAAAAGCTGTTTTATTACCTTTGACAAACTTTAGTTGATTACTGAATGTTGGGTCTAAAAGCAGTAAAGTTATTTTTTATTTTCACATAAATATATGATAAAATTTATGTTTCATAATTAGTAGGAATTCTAGTTGAAAGAATTATAACTTAGAGAAATGAAAGTTAATGTGTTGCTTGAAGTTCAGTCACAAACATCACACAGGTCCTTCACAAAGAGCCCAGTTATGTCATTTTCCATCCATCCATCCATCCATCCATCCATCCATCCATCCATCCATCCATCCATCCATCCA